ACACGAGGAGACGAGACGGCTTTGTTTTCGTTGTTTACAAAACCAGTGACTGATTGGTTCTACATATAAAACTGAAGAAAATAAGACCCTGATTGTAGCTGTAGTAAAATTAATGTAAAAAAATTAATATGATTGTTTGAAGTAATGTTATTTAATGTTAATAAATGGAACAATATAAGTAGCTAACCATTAATGGTAAAGAAAAAAAAGTGAGACTACGCGTATGTAAGTGCGCACATGTGAAAACATATCGTCATTACTCTACATAAGAATATGAAAGCAACACTTATTTACTACTCATATATATTGGAGGGTTAAATATTGTACTCTGTATAGACAAGCAGAGAGAGCAGCCGAACTGCCGGATGTAAACAAACCTTAATTTCCCGCGGCTTTGTTGTTGATTTTTTTTACGGGGATTAGCCCACCCGGGCATAGGTCACTGACCCACATTGGGGCCTGAGAGGCGAAAATTTAATACTCCTGTAATAATAATAATAATAATAATAATAATAATAATAATAATAATAATAATAATTCAGATAAGTTATAATAAAAATAAATAAAAAAAATATATATATATATATATATATATATATATATATATATATATATATATATATATATATATATATATATATATATATATATATATATATATATATATATATATATATATATATATATATATATATATATATATATATATATATATATATATATATATATATATATATATATATATATATATATATATATATATATATATATATATATATATATATATATATATATATATATATATACAGTTCTTACTGTTATATGCTATATCCTTGTTTGCCAGAATGCCACAGTTAATGGGTAACAATTCTGGCATCAGAAACAGTGCAATCTTACAAAACTGTGCCATAAACATGACAAGTTTCCAGCGCTGTTCTGAACTACATAATGATTTAACCTTATTTTGATACTGTAATGTATTCCAACGGATACAACCCCATTTCGTCACCAATCCGTTTTGTCACCGACGCGGTTCGTCACCAAAACCCCATTTTGTCACCAATAACAAATCCATTTCGTCACCACTAACAGTCGCTGATATTAGTGACAAATTGTAAGTTATTATTTTACACGAATAGAAATTATACATGTATACAGACGACCCGAGAAGTATTGTGTTATTATACACATTAAATATTTAATAAAGAAAATTAAAACACTGGTAAAGAAACAAAACACACAATGAATTAAGGTGATTTGGCATCAGCGCATAAACTACCGAGTAGTGAGATGATTGCAGGCGCATTAATGATTTTATTTTTTATTTTCGTCTTTATTAAATTGTCTTAGTATTTTTTATTATTTTCTAGCCAGAGTAACAGTTATTTTCGTGTATATATTGGTGGGAATGAACGGGGTGACGAAACGGGTAAAGCAGTGGTGACGAAACGGGTTAAAAACATTGGTAATGAAACGGGTTGGTGACGAAATGGGCAGACCCCGTTCCAACAGAGCCTCACAGCCTGCAAGACCCCATAATATGTCAGACCACACCAGTGTCTATAAAACTACATATATCAATATTACTGGAAAAATGTTCTTGTTTATGCCTAGGTAGTGTAAAGTGCAGGAACACTAGATGACTGTCATGGGGATTGTGAAGTAAGGAAAGGAGAGACTGGGGTGTTTCCCTCGTCTCTCACCCTCCACCCGACCTCTCCCTCACCCTGGGGTTTATATCCTCCTAACAATCCCATTATTTTGTACCGTTAACATCATATTGGTTCACCTCCATAAGTAGTGTCTCGAGTACTTTATAACGTGTGATATAATACTGCAGACGATACTTTACCGACGACAGCCTATGCGGCAAGTCACTGAACCTCAGTATTGAGTACACCCAAACAGTACAGTCATCACTTTACACCCTCTAACCTTATTTTCCATAAAACCCAGAGTGAACGAGTGTGCCCGGTGGCAAGACACATATAAATGAAACTTCATGGAATATTTGTCATACCTTGTTTGTTTTGGAGGTTGGGCTGTGGCTGAGGTCCGTCCGCCATTTTTGATAGAAACTAAATATGTCAGAAGAATAGTCACGTCACATGAGCTCCATCACCGGCTAGTTCACTTCCACTAAATTTCTCCTCTTTCTCGTAAGTAACTGGCAACCACCGACCGGTTACTAATTCACATCACAAGTCTTTACAGTTATTCAAGAGATCAAGAGGACAATAGTACGTGTGTTCTTCGTTTGGTGGCTGCAGCTATTTCAAAACAATCTTATAATCTGGTGGCGCGAGGTTTGATAACAGGTCACAACCATTTAACATCATAGTGTTGGATAACACTACTATCAACGTATCAATTATATTAATGATAGAACAAGTAATGGTACGTTCAATGTACACAACCTCTCAGCTCCATGTCATACCTGGAAATATGATGTACTACCTGTACTGCCGTAATGTATGACACACTGGCGAAGGATCAAGGTCACTCCACTTAATTATACTGTACACCTTCACTCCCAATTCGATTTAACTGACAGATTCGGTCGAGTGGTTCCTGCTGGATTTGCTTGTACTGCTTACTCCTCGAATATGACAAGAAACAAGAATGGTCGAAGAAATGGCTGCTGAGATTCAATGTCACGAAGTGTAAGCGGATGCACCCAGGGCGTACCAACGGCAAGGAGGCGTATAATATGTCCCAACGGGATGAAGAAACTGCACTAGTTGAGACTGAATTTGAGAAGGACCTAGGTGTGTATGTTGACAGTGAGCTGAAGTTCTCGGGCCATTGCGAGAAGGTAAACCAGGCAAATAAATTATTGGGTCTTATAAGAAGGTAGTTCAGATATCTAGACGGTCCGTCCTCCGTAACGATCTTCAAGAGTGAAGTGCTTCCCCATCTGGAGTACTGTCACCCCTTCTGGTCCCCGAGATGTGCTAGGGACTGTCAGATGGTTGAAAATGTTCAAAGGAGGGCCACCAGACTGGTGCCTGCCCTTCGGCACCTCAGCTACCCTGAGAGATTGGAGCGCCTGGACTTGCCTAGCTTTAACTTCAGACGGGCAAGGGGTGACCTAATTGAGGTGTATAAGCATCTTTAGGGGCACTACTCAGTCGAGTGTCCTTACTTGGAGCTGGCGGACGCTCGCCCCAAGTCCAGAAAACTGTGAGGGCAAACTTTTTCGGAGTGAGAGTTGCGAACTCTTGGAACAATCTACCAGAGTGTTGTGACGGCACCGAGTGTGAGCTCTTTCAAGACAAGACTTGACCAACACTGGAGCGGGTTCAGGTACATTCAGGAGCCGATGCATGCCCAGTACTTGCCAACAGTGCGTAACAGAGACGCGACCGATCGCCCAAGCGGCTAACGAGCCAATCAGTGGTGAAGAGGATAAAAGAAAAGAATGTCAACATACACACCCAGGTCATTTTCGCATCCAGTCTTAATTAATGCAGTTTCTTCGTCCCGTTGGGACATATGATACGCCTCCTTTCCGTTGGGAAGTCCCAGGTGCATCCTCTTACACCCGTGACATTGAATCTGACAGTCTATTTTTTTTTAAGTTTACGTATTGTTGATCATAGATTGACAAGGCTATTATAAATACAAATTGAGAAGTCACATTTATTGTAATGTTTATAAATTTCATATTTATAATGCATTTAAGATGATCGGCCTTAACGTAGGGCAGCATTTCAGCACTGAATCAACACTACATTAGGTTGTAAAGCATAATTATGTACCCGTATATATATCCGCTAAGCATATTAGGTTGAGTAAATATAACACAGTACATCCCGGAGTATACTAAAGGTTGACCTGCTACCATTTCTTGTGACAACGTGGTGGCCTTGTCATGAACTTCTTGAGTGACACAGCATGGTTGCCTTGTTGTCATGAACTTCTTGAGTGACACAGCATTGTGGCCTTGTCATAAACTTCTTGAGTGACACAGCAATGTGGCCTTGTTGTCATGAACTTCACAAGGGTCACAATTTGGCAGCAACGGGGTAGACCCAAGCTTAATCTTCCAATGTACAAGATGTTCTCAGCCGTCTCCAGGAAGCCTTTACGACGAGTAGAGATTTTCAATTGGTGGGCCCCACACAGAGTTGAGTCCATCTCCTCAAAGTACGGGTACCACAGGGTAGGATGACTGAGGGTACTGGATACGCTGGGCAGGGTGTACTGGAATCATAGAGGGCGTGAAGTCGACCTTCTTGTACAGCACCTTCGAGTAACTCACAGGCTGCACGTATATGGGTGCCGATGGACTGCGGTGTCGCTGCCTTTCCAACGCCATTTGCTCCCTTTCATCTCTAGTTAGTGGCCGGGGCATCGCCTCACGCTCTTCACTTGCGGTGCCCAGAAGGTGATACATAATTGTAGTTAATTGTTGTTTGGTAATACACAGAGTTGTGGTTGCTTCTCCGTTTGACTTCAGGAAGACAAGTGTAACTCCGATTCTGGTCCATCTATATTTATACTCCTGCCAAGCTGATATGACGTCACGGCTCTTGTTATTTCACCACGTTCTGTCGTGTCTGCAACGTATCTTTGGTATGCGCCACAGCAAGATAAAGCTTGTTTCATCACGTTCGTCTCTCCCAACTTGTGATAACCGAGTCGTAACTGGACGTAAGTGTATTTATATTTACATTCACGAACAAAAATACATACCAAAAAAGAGCACAACCCAAATAAAAGTTCATCGATGGAGTTGATAAATGATCGTACGTCTGACATCTCACAGGCAACAGTGTCGTACCGAGTGAACGAGCTGCAACTCGAAAACAGGTGCAACGAAAAAAAGTTAAAATTAGGAAAAAAGAAGAAACTTATTAACATAAAAATGAATCCCTGTTACACAAATCAAGATTTATATTCTTCACCAATTGACATCCCATCTCACTGAGTAAAATGAGTAGTTAGTTCTGTATTAGTGGCAGTAGTGTACTACGCGCAGCTGCAGGCGGTGGTTGGTGAATGTATGGGTGTGATTCATTCATGAATCATGGTCACTCACATCACATGCCGAGTGTTTTCCAGCAAATAAGCAACGATCGAGAACGTTTTTTTTTTTTACATATGACGATCTGAGACTGCGAGGATAGTCTAAGATACATCGACACACACGGGTTCCCCTAGAAACAGGTCTCTTATGTCTTGCTTGTCTGGTAGTACTGTACTGAGCCTTCAACACTTGGGACAGTTAAGTGATAAGTGACTGCTGTGGAAACAAATAATTTAAGAGTAATAAGTAAGGTAAGTACGTGGTGAAACATATACAAATGTTAAACCGCAGTTTTTAGTGTTATGAGAGAAAACATTAACTTAATACACGAAGCAAATGAGTTGATGGTCGTATAAATTAAAATGTTTATGAAAGTTAAAAGAACACATTGCTAAAACTTACAGTATTTGTATTATATTCAGAAATATTACTAAAAAAAGAGACAATATAAGATGCAATAAGAAATTGACAATAAAAGTGAGTTAATTTTTAAAGACCCATTACATAGCTGAAATATAACAGGAATAGAGGGTGTGTAACCATTACGCCCGAGGTCCGGTTGACACTCAAGACTTAGCGACTGGTAAGATGGTTGGTGACTAGTGTGTCAGAGATTATAAGAATTAAATGCAAAGATAGTTACGTGGCTCAACTCTAATAATATATATATATATATATATATATATATATATATATATATATATATATATATATATATATATATAACAAAGAAGTCTGTGTGTGTCCGCACGAGAATCTCGGAAACTACTTTACCGATCTATAGTGATGATGGATGGTGTTACATGTAGTGATGATGGATGGTGTTATATGTAGTGATGATGGATGGTGTTATATGTAGTGATGATGGATGATGTTACATGTAGTGATGATGGATGGTGTTATATGTAGTGATGATGGATGATGTTACATGTAGTGATGATGGATGGTGTTATATGTAGTGATGATGGATGATGTTATATGTAGTGATGATGGATGTTATATGTAGTGATGGTGGGTGGTTATATGTAGTGATGATGGATGGTGTTATATGTAGTGATGATGGATGGTGTTATATGTAGTGATGATGGATGATGTTATATGCAGTGATGATGGATGTTGATATATGTAGTGATGGTGGGTGGCGTTATATGTAGTGATGATGGATGGTGTTATTTGTAGTGATGATGGATGGTGTTATATGTAGTGATGATGGATGATGTTATATGTAGTGATGATGGGTGGTGTTATATGTAGTGATGATGGATGATATATTTAGTGATGATGGATGATATATGTAGTGATGATGGATGTTGTTATATGTAGTGATGGTGGGTGGTGTTATATGTAGTGATGATGGATGGTGTTATATGTAGTGATGATGGATGGTGTTATATGTAGTTATGATTAGACAATAAAATAATAACAGCTTAATGCTAAAAAAATATACTTTGCTGTACCGTTGTAGTGAAAAAACATGGTGGAACTTACATACACCGTTAATGAACTATTGATGGAAGAAGTTTTGGGGACTGAACAGTGAGACAATGTGGAGCCTCCCGGAGGGCGGCGTTTCTGCTTGTAATAATAATAAACAGTAAAATCGTCATCCAGGTTAAGTTAGTTTGGTATCTACTATATAATGTAAAGGGATGCTACTGCTAGTTAATGATATAGATTATCATTAACTGACAGTAGACGTTCAGGGAATACTCGTATGTGACCTAACCTAATGGGAAGTAGATAAAATGGGAAATGGAATAGGACGTTACTGTTTAATTATGGACTATGCAGGTATAAAGTTCAGCATCTGTATTGACAATGCAGGTAAACGATGTAAAATTTGCTGACATAATTGGTTTATATTATCAAATTACGCTGCTCATCATCACATGTTATATCTCAAACACAAAATGAAAATCAAAACACCCCTTAACGTTACTGTCAATTGTTACACCACGTTGAATTGTTATTATTGGTTGACTCACCATCCGATTTCGACGTTTCATCATGTTGGTCTTTCCCAGCTTGTGACCACTAAGTTACTGCTGGCCATGTATGTATGTATGTATGTATGTATGTATGCACAAACAATTACACCCCCAGGACAATAATTTCTTTGATAAAATAGATAATCTCGGTCACACATCTGGCAACCCCATCACGCGCCGAGAGTGTCGTACGTGGTGAACAAGCTGTCAAAAGATCGCTTAATAAGGGTCAACGGGATTTTTTTCCGTGAAAATTAAAATGATGTTTAAAAATCAGGAATACAAAAAAATATTACCGATAGAAATTAAACATTTAAAAATCCTTGTTTTGTACATCAACGTTTTCAATGGTTTTCAAATAAATGTAAATTTTAAGATTACCTGACACCTCACCAGGTTGCATCACCCCCACGAAACATTTAACTAAATTAATATATAAAATATCGAAGCTTTAACAAAAGACAACCCAGAGAGTTATCTAATTTTTTGTGTAATGTTGATGGCCTAATGTGACTACCAACATGGTTACCCTTTGAGGACGACGATTTAACCCTTTAATGACGATGCTTTAACCTTTTTAATACGATGATTTAACCCTTTGGTGATAATTTAAACCTTTAATTACGATGGTTTAAACCTTTAATGACGATGATTTAACTCTGAGGGCGATGATGTAACCCTTTGGAGACGATGCTTTAATATTTTAATACGATTTAACCCTTTGATGACGATGACTTAACACTTTAAATACGATGATTTAACCCTTTGATGGTAATTATTAACTCTTTAATGACGATGATTCAGCCCTTTGATGGCAATTATTTAACCCTTTGATGACGATATTCTAACCCTTTGAATATGATGATTTAGCCTTCGTTGTTGAAGCGCAGTAAACAACAAACAACTAGGCAGCTAATGAACGTCTGTACATTAATTACCTGTCCCAGCGATAAGTCAGTGTTACATGTTAGAGGCAACACACGTTGCCCCATTACAATGTTTGTAGATGGGTGACAAATTTTCCTTGTCACTCCCACCCTCACTCTTCTGTTTCACGTGTGATCATACACATTTTGTGAAGAGGGACTAAAACTTGTTTTGGGCCATGGTCCTACATAAAACTTATTTTTGTTGGTAATTAACGTAATTTGTCTAAATAATTACAAAAGGTAACAGAGGAGTCACCAGTGTGAGAGAAATTGTTATAATACTTTTTATTTCCTCGATCAGTTCTCATAATTATCAAATTACTGCAGTTCTTCACACCATAGCAAAACAATGTTCGTCTCCATTTATGTTTTTTCAGGTGTGGAAATCATAATAAACCAACGAAAACGATAGAGAAAAGAACATTAAAAGGAAACAATCACTTTGTCATTACGGACGGACACCAACTCAACATACAGGTGTCGTCCATTAAATTATTTTGCAACTGATCGGCGTAGCATCTGGCGTTTTCCGTACAAGAATATTAAACTAAATATTTCCTTTAGTGTTAATTTCTCTGCCACCCTAGTTGATCTGTCATGATTCCTCAAGGGCGGATCCAGGAATATAAAAAAGGGGGGCCCAAGAAGTTGTAGGTGAGGGAACATGAGCGCAGCGAGCCCACTCAGCCGCTTTTTTTTAGGGGGGGGGGGCACTGTAAGCCCCCGCTCCCAGATTTTTCGTTGAAATCTGACCAATATCATGGGCATTTTGAGGCCATTTTGAAGCCATGCCAACTGGATACTCAGAGATATTCTGATGTCTATAGTAAATACTTTTAACTATACAAAAATGCCTGAGTACAATAATAATAATGCATTAAAGAAAAAGTATTGAAAATTTCTGATGAAAATGGGGGCCGGAACCTCAAGAGCCCCCTGTTCCTTCGCCTCAAAAATAAAAATAGAGGTCTGGTGAACGACCTATCCATGAACCGCCAGTTACCGTCACGGCAGTGCCTCACGTTACGTCAGTCATGAGCCATGATAACATTACCCTCAGGCAGACAGTATATTATCAAGTACTCAGAGTTACACCACGTTACACCTTATCTAAGTGACACAGGCAGGCACTTATGACAATATAATAGATGAAGTAGTTAATGCAACTCGCTCTTACAAACTAAAAAGATCATACTACACTTTAAATATACTGTATGTATCGCCGTCTGAACTTCATATTGTACTATAGTGAGGGGTTTTTCAGCTTAGAAAAAATGACCCGCCCCCTCCTCAAGAGTTACAGCTGTTGCAAACCTGTCCGATTTTGTCCTGAGTAATGATGTATTTCTAAATGAGTTTATTCATAATCGTTGGGATGACCGTTTCTGACAAGAAAGATATTTAGCTAAATTATATAAAAATACATACCTTCAGTAGTTTCAAACATAAGCACGGGGGAAGTTTATCAGAAGTATTATACGTGAATTAATTGATAACTCGGGTAGCAAATTCACACTTTCGGAGGATGCATTTAATATATACTTATTTTTACCTACAATAAGGCATACTAAGACAAATTACATATAAGTAATAGTACATTATGCAAAACGATCATTTTAAAAGATCAGAATCACATTGAAATATTACACGGCCGTCAGCATAGGCGGGAAATATGACCGCGAACTACTTCATATTTTTACCGCCTCTGCGAACGGTCGTGAATATTTCAATGTGATTCTGATGTTTTAAAATTAATAATGGTGATTAACAATATTCGTGGTTACAGTTTGGAAATGTAAAAACTGATGCTGTAATATTCAGACAATTAAGACACAAACGTCTCTACAACAAAATTTACTAAGAAGTTATTTCCGGGGACGTTATCTCAAAACTTTCCGTCTCTGTGTTTCTCTCGGGTGTGTCATTCTCACAGACAGTGACGTATTCGAGGGTCGTTATGATGAATGTAGAACACGGCGATAGAATTATTTTGCATCTTTAATATATATCTCACAATCGTAAATAAACTTGTAATAGCTGTCTGAGCCATCAATGGTTGAATCGACTAGGTCGATATAGTATGTATGTCTGCACTCTGTACATACTGAATCAATGAGTGCGTTTACATCCACGATTTACAGAATACTGCCAGAAAGAACAAATTCAAAGTTATGAACAGCTAGTTTACGTCATATTAATAGTTGCATCATGCAACTTGCATGCTTCAGTTCTCAACTAGGGCCGCAATGGACATGCACGATTTCTCTTGTCTTAAAAATATAACTTTAAGCCTATGTTATACCAGTCTGCCTTAAATACCATTACACTAATAAA